CAGCAACAAAATTCTCACCAGCTCACATGAATTTCAAGCAGCAGCAGAGACAAAAGCTCAATGTGAATGAGTTCCTAGACCTTTCATCACTTAACAAGGAAACAGGAAACTCAAGATATAGCTCAAACATTCTGGCATTACACGGTAGCATGATGGGGGGTTAGGCTCAAGAAGGTGTAAATTTGGCCGTTCCTTAGAGAATTCTTACCCTGTGGTAACTTAACATTGTTTTATACTTTAGGGGCCCAACAGACTGAAAGCAGAAGTATTTTTAACCATGCAAGTAGGATAAAAATCACTTACGGCCTACAATAAGAGCCAATAAGAACTTTATAGAAAGATGCGGTACTCAGCATCTTGAATACCAATCCTGAAGTGCTGTAAACCATAGGAAAAAAAATGGGAAAGGGTGTCAAACTTTTATTCAGAGGAACCTCTCAATGTATTTAAATTAGAATTTTTAAGCTCCATTTAGCAGTCTATGCATTTTACAGCACAGACTACACTTCATGCTGCTAATGCTGTTGGGAAGACTCATGTCTGTTTATTATGGAGACACTTCATTTAGGTGGCTTATACATTAGCAGATATCCACAGTTCATTCCAGGAGAGACTGCAGCTCATGCAGCTACTCCAGTACAGCTTTTATAACCAGGTAAGCACTGGAACACCACAAGTCCAGCTTGTGGAGCTGCAGTAATACTGGAAAAAAATACCAGACCCAAAAAAAAAAAAAAAAAAAAGAAGAAAAATAATGACAACTAGATATGGCACCTACACAGCATGCAACGTAAGTGATGCAGAGATGGAACAACTTGGAAAATGCTGGCACAGCAAATCTCTCTCCAAAATCCTGATTTCATTGTGCTAAGCTCAGTCCAACCACAGAGAGAATTCCAATGATCAGACCTGTTTCCACCAGTTTCTGCTTATGGCAGTTTAAATTGACAGTTCCTTTCTAACTTAGTAACTGGGCTCAGAGAAGCAGGCAATTTTGTAACAAATCAACCCACTATCCCCAATTACTGAGCACTCATTAAAAAAGAAAAGCTTGATGAGGAGTGTCTGAGGGAACTGGGTTGTTCACCCTGGAGAAAACAGGGCTCAGGGGAGACCTTATCGCTCTCTACAACTACCTGAAAGGAGGGTGCAGACTGGGGTGTCAGTCTCTTCTCCCAAATAACAAGAGATGGGACAACAGGACACAGCCTCAAATTGCTCCAGGGAAGGTTTAGATTGGGTATTAAGAAAAATTTCTTCACTGAAAAAGTTACCAAGCACTGGAACAGGCTGCCCAGGGGAATGGTTGAGTCCCTATCCTTGGAGGTATTAGAGACATGTCGATGTGGTGCTTAGTGACATGGGTTAGTGGTGGACTTGGCAGTGTTGGGTTATAACAGTTGGATCCCATGATCTTAAAGGTCTTTTCTAACCTCAATGACGCTATGATTCTATGCCCCAGCTCCTAGTGGGGACATAAAAAAGATTGTCGTTTGGACAGCTCCCAACCACACATGCGGTAGGGATGTTTGGATCTAGGGACCTGATTAAACACAATCCAATGGTAAGACCCAGCCCAAACATGCTGCTGATGCTAGGGTCTCAGAGCCAACTGCTCTGACCTACTGGTCCACTCCTTCTCAGTCACACTGGCTAATGCACACACTGCCCACAGGCCCTTGCAAGCCGGCATTGAGATCTTTCCAACTACCTTCTATAAAATATCTTGAACAGCAATAAAAAGGCACATAAAAATCTCCTTAGAGGATTTCCCGCTCCAGAATTCTTCATAAACAGAAATTCTCGCTCCTTCAGTATTGATACAATTTCAGTTCTACAAAGACTCGTACAAAACACGTTTTGAGAAATGTTATGAATTTACTTGTCCAATAAAGTGTGTAAGCACTGGACTGTGAACATGTCAAGGTATATGATGAACAGTACTCTGACTTCCCCATCTGTAAGACAGCCACCAGCAAAGGTGAAAACAAGAAACTACGTGATTTGTTGATAAATGCATGTCATCTTCTTGCAGGTCACCACGGAACCCATCTACATTAATTAGAATCATGGTTTGACATAGTTCACTGCACTAAGAAATGCAAAGAGAAATCCAAGCTGATTGTCTGCAGCCTTACCTCAAATTTATCTTGATATTAATTATGTAGCGTGCCAGAATACATAGAATCATAGAATGGTTTGGGTTGAGAGGGACCTTAGAGATCATCTGGTTCCAACCCCCAACATATCACAAAAGCAAAGATGAAGTGGCAAAAGAGCAAAAAACATAGAGAAACATTACAACATGGTTCTGACTTACCTATATGATAAAGTCCTATCCAGTCAGTCGGGTCTACTTCTTCCTTAATATCCCAGAAAATGATGAGGTTCTGAGATTGCCCCAGAGTATATTCATACATACTGGCTGTCAAACTAGACCTGCTATCCGAGGTCACTAAATCAGTGTCACTGTTGGCACGCTGCAAGTTCATGTTCTCAGCCATGGTGCCCTGAGAGGCCAAACTCTGCAGATTCTCTGGGCTCAGAGTATACCGCAGCTGTGGGTTGCGACGCCGCACAAAAAGCAGATGTTCTCGGGCTGAACTGGCCATCTCTTCTCCACTTTTGTCAATTTACGTGAAAAAGTTGTTGTTCAGAGATCTATCAAGAAGAACAAAAAAAAGAAAGTGTTAAAGTGAGAAAGCAGGTTCTCAGTCGAATATTAAATGGAGAGGCATTAGTGCAAAAATGTTGCAAAAGTGTTCCTACAGAAGCCTGATATAGACTGAGTAAAATCTTTTACTTCATTGTTCTATCACTGCAGCCACCTTAATGTCTGTACATGTAAGAAAAAAAAAATCATTAATCACTTGCAACAAAATTCAGAGTTAACCACACACCATGAAATAACATTTATACACCAGAAAGCAACAGAAAGCAAAACATCCAAGACCATCTACCAAGCAAGAACAGCCACAGTAACAAAGCTGATTTAAATCTGGCAGTAGCCTAAAGAATGAAGTGGTAACAAACTCGTCTTTCACCAAAGAAATCACAGCAGTATGGGATATACTTTCACCATTAGTTTCCAACAATACTCTCCATGCACTGTATGTTTGGAATCAGAAGAGAGTTGAAGATACTAATAAGGTCGGACATATTTCAGTAGAAATACAGTAACACTGAACTGTGCTACTATAAAATCATTTTGTCATTTCATAAGAATTTTAAGATACAAAGCATAGCTTCTGAGATCCTCTGTACTATACAAAAACATGTCAGACAATTGACTGGGTTACTTTAGACTATATATATATATTCAATTAGCCTATGTCACTTTATCTGTGCACTCAGATTTTCTTCTTTTCCATACATCAGAAAACACAGGCCTTATAAATTCAACAGCTTTCCTCTAGACGTAGAAGACAGAACTGGTGATGGGGAACCTCTTGCCATAGAAGGAATATGAAAACTTCCTTGTCTAAGCTATGTGACTTTGATCAAAGCTGTTTTCCTTTTCCAAAGGCTACAGTTTTTATCAACTCATTTTTTCCATCTTACAGAGGAAATAAACCAGTCCTCATCTGGCAGAACTATTTGCTTTCAAAAGAAACTGAATTTTCTGGTAATGCGTTTTTCAGTCAAAACTGTGAAAACAATCTTCCATACTATATGTGTCTGGAAAAGGAACTGTGCATTTCCTCCAATGCCAAACCAAACCAAAGGTCTCCTGCCCAGCAATAACTCCAGAGCTCACTGGGAAGAAACTGTGTCCTCGGTTCCTTACATCCTTCATACAATTTGAAAATAGTATTTCAGTATTACTAACCAGACTGCAACTTAACCAGTTGCAATTTACTTAATCAATTATTCCACTATAGTGTCTTCTGTGAGGGATGTATACTGCAGAAAGACCAAAAGAATTTGTGCATGTACACATATAAAAGGCACCTGTGTATTATTCTGGGGCTTTCTTCTCTGTGTCACAGCCCTCGGGTATCATACGCAGATATATTTGTTCTCTTAAAATAACCCAAGTATTGTCAGACAATGCTGAGTGTCACCTGCTATAACATTCCTTGTTTCAAGCAAGGAAGCCTGTAATGCAGAATTATGTAAAGCCTGCGAGAAGCAAATGGATTGCTTGGCCACTTCCATAGTATTATAACTGTAATTAGACCTATAGTGTAGGTAGGAATCAAAGGTCTCACAACTGATTTCATAAACAAACTTCTGTCTCTAGAGGTCAAGAGACATATAATCTAAAAAAAAAAAAAAATAATAATCCACACCAAACCCACACAAGTAGACCACTTGGAGATCCCATGATCGTGATTAAGAAAAAAAATAGAAAAAAAAGGAAATTTTCATATTTTGAGGGTTTTCCTATTCTTTCCTCTTTCCTCATATGATGCATCTTCAAAGTCTGCCACTTCACTCCTATTTCCTACCTCCCATCTTCAATTGTTTTGTAACAACATTTCAGTGTACTCTTCCAGTTTACCACAAATTCTACTATTTTTCAGCTCTTCTTAAGTGGGAGATGTTTTGAAATATTTAATAACTAACAAAAGGGAAAAAAGAAGTGTAACTCCTCCAGTAGTATGTACATGGTTCAGCATAAAATACTGCAGAAAAGGAAGGAAACAAAACTTGCATTCATTAATTCTACATAGACAGAAGTGACGTGGAAATGCCCATACCTACTTCACAAAGTACGCCACACAGTCTTTCCTGACACGAGCAATGTTTTGGCTGCATACACAAAACACGCTATTTTTGGTGCTGGATGTCAGCAGGGTTCACTAGCGTTCTTGCACACTCTGCCTCTGTCTGACACCAGTGTCAGTGACGGAAAGGAAACTTTGGTATAAAGGGCATTCTTAGATCACCAGGGAAGCTAGTATCTTGTTCCTCTATGCCGAGTATTATTCGCTAGGTATGAAAGTCCCGGGAGATTTTGCAGCCAGAAGGGTAAATAAGAAAGTCACCAACTTCCCTACAAGTCAGTGAAACAAACTGGGATCAACCAGTCACTCTGATCCTCCTGGGGTTTTTTTCCCCTCCTCCTATTTTAGGTTTTGATCTGGGCAACAGCAAGGATTTAAGACAGTTAAGTCCTAAATGTCATAGTGAAAGAGTTGTACCCCCTGAACAGGCACAGCCCCATTAGTACCTGAGCCTGCCTGCCCTAGCAGCACACACACCTGCCTGGGTACCACTGCCCTCCACACGAGATTACCAGACTGACACTGCACTGCCAAGCTCAGCACCTTCTTTTCAGCCTAGAGATTTAGGTAGCTTTGAACTAAGGCAGACAGTGGCTTTACGGCAGTAGAATTACTGCAAAATAAGCGTCATGCAGGAGGTCTACAAGTCAAAGACAAATTTTTAATTGGCGGGATGAAAAAGTTTCCTTTGGCTGCAGAGCAGTACATTGTACCCAGGGCAGCACTGGCATTTGTTGGAACATATTGAAAATTTTTCTGTGGCAGATGGACAAACTCATCCATGTTTAAGGACACATGAGAACTAACTGGTACCAGCTAGGACTATCCCACAGTTTCAGAGAAAAGAACTGCCTGAGAAAAACATGAGCTCCTGTGCAACAGTCCATTTTCTTAAATCCTAATTGTTACCACTCCGGTGAACCATGGACATCATTACTGTTTCTAAAAGTCAAGTAAACCACAAATCTGAATGCTGGATAACTTCTCTGATCCTACTCATAAATCCAAGTGTCTTTAAGTCATGATTTAAACAACCATCCCAACAAATGACATAACTTAAAACAATTGAAATCCATTTGCAAGAAACATGTTAAACTCACACGTATGTGAGCTCCTATTATGTAAAAAAAAAAAAAAACCCTCCCTAAATTCAGGCCTTGCAAACTTTTACAATATTTTCTAAATCTAGTGGAATAGGCTGTAAAGCAGCCCTCGAGTCAGACAGCACTCTGCTACGTACCATCTCACAGCAAGCTGGGAGGCTAATTAAGGTGATTTGTAAGGAGGGGGAAATGACACTCGTATTATACAAGATGGAAAGGTGATTTCCGTAAACCCCAAAATATAAGGAGTGATAGAAGGGAAAAAAGAGCCACTACTTCAATAATTTGCAGTCTTAAAATTCAGTCTGAAGATGGGATGAAAACCTTACACAGTGCCTTCCTGCCTACGAAGGGAATTACTTATCTGTCGTGTGGTTAACAATTCCCAATGTCTGTCAATAATAATAATAATAACATCACAGCTCACTAGCACGTACATCCTACCAGAGACTGAAAATAAAAATTGTCCTCCCACTTTCAATTCCTGCTAAGCGCCACTGAAACAGTATTTGCATCCAGACTGTACTGCAAGGACAAATACGCATGATGAGCTATGTGCACCTTCCCTGCCATGAAAGTGTGGCCAACCAGGCTGAACGTGATCAGAGCAGTGATTTCACAAAATATCACACACAACTGGCAAGGAATATTCATAGAATCATAGAATGGTTAGGGTTGGAAGGGACCTTAAAGATCATCTAGTTCCAACCCCCTGCCATGGGCAGGGACACCCTGCACTAGACCAGGTTGCTCAGAGCCACATCCAGCCTGGCCTTGAAGACATCCAGGGATGGGGCATCCACAACATCTCTGGGCAACCTGTTCCAGTGCCTCACCACCCTCTCTGTGAAGAATTTCTTCCTGACATCTAATCCAAACCTCCCTGATTTCAATTTATACCCATTACCCCTTGTCCTATCACTACAGGCTCTTGTAAAAAGTCCTCTCCCAGTACCCTTGCAGGCCCCCTTCAGATATTGGAAAGCTGCAATGAGGTCTCCTCGGAGCCTCCTCTTCTCCAGGCTGAACAAGCCCAGTTCTCGCAGCCTTTCGTCATAGGAGAGGGGCTCCAGCCCTCTGATCATCTTCGTGGCCTCCTCTGGACTCGCTCCAAGTGGTCAATATCCTTCTGATATTGAGGGCTCCACAGCTGGACGCAGTACTCCAGGTGGGGTCTCACCAGAGCAGAGTAGAGGGGCAGAATCCCCTCCCTCGACCTGCTGGCCACACCTCTCCGGATACAGCCCAGGATTGTTTTGTGAAGGCAAGCAGAAATGTGGAAACTGAATCAAAAGCATAGGGAAAATATAGGCACTTCAGAAATTAGCAGATATTAAGTTTAGCAAAGTATTTTAGTTGAAAAGTGAAACCCATACCAAAGCTGCTTATCTGTATCACAGTGTTTTCTTCAATACTTGACAAGAAGCATCAAGAGAAATAGGACTGATTTCCTCCTAATCTTTAATTGGCACGAGTTCAGCATTATTTGTCTAAACATACTCCTCAGTTACTAATTATAGGGAGACCAGAACTGGGAGAAAGTTCCACCTGATATGCAAAACAGATAGGAAAAATTCTGCTGCCCAACCTTCTTCACCAAGTGAGACTGAAAAGCAACGTCAAAGCATTTCTGACATGCAGTCAAACATTCAGTAGTTTAAAAAAGGTACATGATGAAAGTCTAGGAGTTCCAGCACAGGAATAGCCCAAAAAGTCCCATCCCACCATGCAAAACAAACCTGAGTTCACAGGCTGCCGTGTTTCCTCAAGGGAGTGATT